TCCTCTCCTCTCCAGGCTGTTTGACTACCATGGGCGGGTGGCACCCCTTCCCCAGCCTGTGATACCAATCAAGCGCTCGCGGGTCGCTGTCCCGTCCACACGCAGGGGGAAGACGTCCTTTCCCGTCAAGACGTCCTCTTCCTCCTCCTCCAGGCTGCCTCTCTCCAGCTCCTCTTCCTCCGGACTCAAACGTAGGTTCAAGCCCCTCCCGTCTGTCATGTCTGTATGTTTCTAGATTTTAGCATAATGGCCTTATCTTGTGGACTTCACGTGTTGTTTGTTCGAGTTTGATCAACAGGCTGACAACACATACGTGATTCAGCGCGAAAGCCATAAATGTGTGTCATCACAGCTCCAGTCACAAACTGAAATTCAGAGTATTTTAAAATGAACAGACAAGTCTGTCATTAAAACAAAAATGGCAGGAAAATAATGAGTAGTGCAGACACGATTTGTATTTTGTCATGGTTTCCATGGAAATGCACCAAGCACACAAAAGGACCGATATTTTGCTGGCTGAATGATGGAGCTGCATATGTCTTATTGAGTAACATGGACCTGGACACCTGGACGATGTGAAAGATATGGTGTGGATACGTGACACACACACACTGAACACGAAACGTGTCCATTTGCTTAAGTTATGTCATCAGTCACTATATGTTTGTGTCTGACACAGCTAATGAGAGAGAGTGAAAGAGAGAAATAAAGTGAGAGAAAGAAAGCAAAAAAAAGACGAAAGAGAGAGATGCTGAGTAATGAACTGATATAAATTCAGCTCACTGACTCATGCGCTCTCTGATAAAACTGACCTTTCCATATTTTATACCGTCCTGAAATGACATTAAAGTTGAATGCATTTTCGGCTCATCAACATTTTGAATGCCTTTGATCTGTTTCTGCGCATATGTCTGAAATGAATAAGCAAAATGGCACATGTTCTAGAAGAGTGGCTTCACACTCCTTTTAAATATCCAGCGCTTTTTGCGGGGAGCGTGGTATTCTAAGCATCAGTCATCAAAATTCCAGTCCAGAATTAAGCAGTGCTGAATAGAATTGTGATCCGCTGAAGTGGTGCTCAGGTCTTTTTAATTCTGGGGTTTGAGCTGAGTTCAGAGTCACCCGCAGCTGCGTTCCTGGAATAGACGGAACGGGCCGCCGCAGGTATGGTAACGAATTCCCTCAGAGACTGCCGTGTCATAAATCTTGACGCGCTCTCCGTGCGACGGGGATTCAGGAGCGCACTTTCATCCCTTTCACCACCCTGCCAATTTGGCGCAATCCTTGCATCCCTGAGAACCACCCCCCCCCCGTCATTTCAGGAACGCGGCTAATGAACTATTACGCGCTCCTCCGCGGCTTCTCAGAACACTGTTCCCTCTGCCGCTTCATGCCATTCTCAGCTAATGATGAAAACCGGTTGGTGACAAAGCACTTTTTCCAGCCTTTTTTTCTCTGCAGACGATAAACAGTTGTTTGTACGCTAATCCGAGGCTGATAACGAACAGTGGGGTCCAATATTAAGCCTTAAGAGTTTCTCGGTCAAAGCCTGCAGGGTGAAGTTCTGCCAAAGAATCCCGCTGAGGTATAAATTAGGATGTGAAGTGAAAGCAGGAAATTAGTTTTGAACGGATGGGGGTGGCACCAACAGCGAGCATGGACTCTATGATAAAACGATGATAGCTGCTACTGTTGTTCTTTCAGGAGTTGGGAGGGTTAGCTTAGATTGCGTCTCTTTGTATGAAATCTTTTTTTTACGCTTATATCTTCTGATTGAGCAAACACTCTTATCTAGAGTGACTTAAAAAGTAAAAAGTACAGATTGGATCCCTTTCTGCCTGGGTCAGGGGAGACACTGTGACAGTGAGCTGGTTAAAAAAAAAGAGCTGAAACTGTTACCAATACAGATTAATCAGCGTTCCCTTTTGTACTGTGTCCGTTCACAGTAAAAACGGACCAGCTCCAGACAATCAAACGGGAGCTGATGCAGATCAAAGCGAAGATCGACTCCCTGCTGGTCCGGTTGGAGAGAATCGAGAGACAGCAGAGAGCAGAGGCCGGTAAGAAGGAACCTTCAGGAGAAGGACGGCGGTGCTGGGGGGGAGGGAAATAAAAAGCGCACAAACTCATCAGTCTTCCTGGAAGTGTAATGAGATGGGATTCAGGCAGCTGAATAAAAGAGTGTGAAGGTCTGACAACAGGCACTGTTGATGGAAAGATGTGAAGAGATTTAGAGCTTTATTTAGAGGTGTTAGATTAATAGACCAAAGCGCAGAGGAAAGAAATGCTTTGAGCTTAACTCTCAGCCTTGTCTACAAATTAGTTAGTGTCATGCGTGTCATCAGGAGGTGTCATCGTGATAAAACAATTCGGTGAATTTCATTAGTCCTCTCTCTCCCTCTCTTCCCATCTTTCTGTCCCCTACTTATTCTGTACCTCTCTCCCTCCATCTCTGCCACCCCTACTTGTGCGGTCCCTCTCTGTCTGTCCTCTCCATGTTCAGAGGCACAGAGGAAGTACGAGGACAGCTACGAGTCCCACCATGAGTCGGTGTCAGAGGCGGCAGAGAATTCCGGCGAGGAGGCGGGGGAGGGGACGCTAGAGACAGAGGCCGGGGAGATGACAGATGGAGGCGAGGATGACTACGATGATGAAGGCAGCAATGATCTGGTGATCTGGAGACAGCAGACACATATTATTTGCCTACATGTTACAGCATTGTGCATGGCCCTTTCTGGCAAGGCAACTGATAACTCCTGTTCTTGACTTGCCTGTAAATGGTGACAGATTTCTGTAACTGTAACAAAAGCTGGTTTGAGGGAGCCACTGATGAAAGTTGGTGGATTTGCATGGACTGTCAACCCAAGGAAGAATCAGTGTCAGGCGCAGAGAGAGGGGAAATAGACAGGTGAAATAAGAAAGGAAGATAGTATGTGTGTGTGTGTGTGTGTGTGTGTAAATGTTTTTACCCCTCTGTGTGATTGTGTGTGTGTGTGTGTGTGTGTGTGAGAGAGAGAACAACAGCAACAGTGCTGAACATCATAGGAAAAACACTGAGGAGGCAGAGGGAGGTAATTTTTCTGTTTTGCATGTGTGTGTGTTCGAGGGTTAGGGTGAGGGATAGAGAGAGAAGAGAGGGAGAGAGAAATGGAGAAATGGAGGGAGGGTGATTCACTTGGGTGGTTAAGATAGTAGGCATATTAATATTAACAGCTCAGATTGCACTCACAATTTCACCCTTACAAATTCAGCAAGAACAAAACTATAAAAATGAGTGCTACAAGGGCTTCTCTCCCACCCAAAGTGACTGAGGTTTTTTACATTATCATCCATTTACAAGCAGATCTGAAAGAGAGAACATTAGTGCCAAAGGGGGCCTATTTGTAGTTGCTAATGGAAGTTGCTAGTGATCTTTGATCATTTCAGATAATCATTTTTATGTTTTTTTTTTTCTGTCAAGGCCAAAGTCAACATAGATAAAGCTGTCATCTACACATATAGAGTTTTGTTATAAAAAGCACCTTTGCTGAACAATTCAACAGTTAGCATAGAAGTTCCAGGCTTTATTCTGCACAAATGTACAATGATGCTTTGAATTATAAACTGTAATAATGTAGGAAATTAGTAATTTTATCTGTAATTAACTAATGACAACTTTATGTTTTTTTTTCAGATAGAGAACCATGTGTCAGACATAGACAACTAAAAAGGTCAGATTTTTTCATTCTTTCAATTTCAGTTTTTAGTACTTTGTGATGCCATTCTCCTGAGCATGGGAGTAAGTGTGTGTGTGTGTGTGTGTGTGTGTATGTATACTGTATCTATACATACACATAAAGAGAGGGGCAGATGGAGAGAGAGAGAGTTCAAAGTAACGTTAGTTTTTTCTAACGCTTTGCTAAATCAAAATGCATTTACCTGTGCAATGTGAAGGAATGGGTTGCAAGAGATCCTAAAGCACCCCATGCTCTTTCCCATCTCACCAACAGCTTCAAATCTGAGTAACTGCAGAACTAGTAAGCTGCTGAATATGTGTTGTTAGAATTGAAACGTTCACTGCAGCAGACTTCTTTATTGAAGATTTGATGCTGTTTTTTTTTCTCTCTCAAGGAGAGTGGTAAATGAGATTCAGTACATTATCCTAAATAATACCGAGACACAATAAGGCCACCAGCCTGCATGCAGGGGCAATAACCGACATCAGCTCCGCATACCTCTGACTTTTCTCTGACCTAGAGGAAAATTCCATTATGGATCCCCTCTTCAGTCAAACAAATGGGCCATGATAAAGTCAGTCCTGCCATCAGACACAGCCATCAGACAGCACTGAGATAGCACCGATCTGCACCACGGTGATGGAGCCGGCTGAGAAAAGCCACGCGATTAAGTTCCCGGGGACAAAGACTTGAGAACCCGTCACAGGGATTGTGATTAATTTTTGTAGAGTTTTCTTCGTGTCAATTACAGAGAAGAGCTCCTGCATCCCAGCCTCCCGTTGGGAGTAATTTGTGTTACCGTGCTATTGTAAAGACTAGCGACAGGCTAAGTGCAGCTCTTTGCACATGATTACTCTCAAGCCTTGGGAGCTTTCTTTTTTTCCACTTATTTACAGTGCTGCAATAAAATTCAGCATAATGACATTTTTGCTTTGCTCCGTATAATTCTGTGCAAGTCAGGACAGTGGCATTTTATAGTCCAGTTAAGTATTCAAATTTAGACCAGCGCCTGTTTTTCATTTCAGTGAACAGGCTGATTTAAAAATAATAAATAACAATACGTAATTGTAATTTTTTCCGTGTATAGTTGAATATATAAGACTTCACATGTTGGAAAAAATAGATCATCCAATGTACACTTAAAATTGCATTTATAAGGAAATAATGGAAGTGCTTTGTAAACATACGCAGCTTAATTTGTCATAAATTAACTGCAAAATAAATATACCCATTGTAATATATTGGATCTGGCAGTGTGACTTTCTGTCAGTTTTGTCATAGTGAGCAGCAATGTAGCATAGTGGTAAGGCGTAGTGCTCATAACCAAAAGGTTGCTGGTTCGATTCCTCTCTGGGGCACTGCCACTGTGCCCTTAAGCAAGGTACTTAATCCAGAATTGCCTCAGTAGATATCCAGCTGTATATACTGATAACATGTAAAAAATTGTAAGTCGCTCAGGATAAGAGCGTCAGCTAAATGACAGTAATGTAATGTAATGTTGTGAAGGTCTTCTTTGCGGTAACATTCCGTAAGTCTCATGCCCTCTCCGTCGAAAGGGTGGTGCTGCAGCACGGCAGACTTTGACAGAGGGCACGGAGATGGCGGTGCCAGCGGCCTGGAACCACCCAGCCCTCGTAAACAACACACATCAAGTTGAGTTGTAGGTTGAGCCTCGAAGAGCGAGGGCGTCCGGGAAAAGGCGTTCCTCTTCGGTCGCTCCTGACAGCCCCCGATAATGAACCGCAAAGATGAACCGCCGGCCGGCTCGCTGCCACGCTAATAAAACTGTTTATGGAGTCTGCCGCCCGGATGGCACATTAGCTTAAAACGGCCTTTCAAGCCGCCTGTATGTGGGCGGCCCACCAGTGCTAATTTAGAGAGTAAAGAAGTATGCTGTGCTTGTACCCCAACAAAATAACAGAAGAGCAGTACTAACTGCAACTGGAAGCTGCTGCATTATTAGAAACAGGAAGAGCAGGATCAGAAGCAGATGGAGGAAGAGGACTTGGCGGTGATCTTATTTTCATGCAGATTAAGTAGTTGCATAAGGTTTGTATTTTAGGTTCTGGGATTACCACGGGGGGGGGGGCAGGGCAAAAGTGTTCCCTGGACAGCTTTTTACAAAGCACAAGCTGCATTAATGAATGAGCAAATGATTGAATGAATGAATTAATGAATTTTTTATTTGCAGAGAAGTCATGCAGCCACGCTAAGGTTACAAGGGTCTGACTCCTCTCTTTTGCCTGACTGTTTCTCCCTGTCTCTATTTCAGTCCCTCTCTTTTTTTTCTGTCTGTCTATCTCTGTTCATCCCTGTCTGCTCTTGAATTTGTTCAGTGTTTTCTTCTGTAAATCTCGCAACTTCAGAAAACGGGGAAAAAAATTGAATAGCAAATCCCTCTGCTTCGGGATCTTAGGAAATGGGATTAAAACGTCTCTCTGAATGCTAAAACCTTGGCGGGACCGGAGCATTTCAGAGCCTGCGAGGTTTATTCGTGTGACACTGCGCCAGTGTTCAGCTGTCCTGAGATCTGTGCTTTGCATGTCATATTTTACAGGATTATAAATGCGGCCTCAGATCCCCTCGCCCGTGAACTCTTCCCGCCTTCATGAATTTTGTATCCGGGCAACACTCCCGCAAGCATCTTTACCACTTCTGCGATGGTTTTTAATGACAACCTTCCTTTCTTCTTCTTAGGGAGGCTGGAGTCACCGCAGGCTGTGGAACCAGGAACCAGGAGTAGAAACTGGAGTGACCGAGGGATCTCTAGGAAGGAGGGTGCCGAGTCTGGACAAGAAAAATCTTTCTGAAAGGAAAGGAGACCACAGAACGGGACATTTGTTTGCTTCTACGGAGACATTTCACAGCCTGAGATTGCCCGGCGCACCGGCGATATTCACAGGACCGTGTGCGCTTTTCAAAAACGTCTTTGCGAAGTCAGACTCTACAAGCCTCGAAGGCTACACACACTATTGGTATTTATTTGTATTTAAGAAAAAGAGATTAACTCATGCACACCATTACAGAAATAACTGTAAGTTAAACAGTTTACATTTGTTCAAAAAATAAGGATGAAAAAAAAATCTCTTCACTGAATACTATGTCAGTATGTAGATTTGTGTATGACATACTGTGTATCAGTGGTAGTTACATCATGGGTTTATTTGAGGTGTTTCGTTTCATAACAGGTTTGCATATTCATCAAGGGATTACTGACATGTCCTATTCCTTCTTTTTGTATTTTGCTCATTTTTCAAATGATTTGCTGTATTTAGCCCCTGACTCTTTTGAACATCTGAAATTACCAGTCCAATCCTGCATTTGAAGTCCTGTTTGCCGCATATAACAATGCAGCCACTTTTCTACTTACCCACTTTAGCTGTATGTGTGCCATTCTGATGTGACCAAATGTGGTGTTCTGCATGTCATCTCACCAAACCCCTTGCTGAAATGCCGCTGGCCCCAGAACATCTTTAGTTTCTATGTTTTAGCACACAGCTCAGAATGTCAATTTGTGCTTATTTTGTAGCTTGAACTATGGTCGTGTTCAGGCGAGACTGTGCAGCCTAGCTAAGAGTAAGCAGTGCTAAAGACATTTTCTGGCTGTGGGATTTTACAGGATAATCACACCTACTTCTGCTTGACTTGCCAAGGCTCAGGGCCAAAATGCTAGCATATCTGGGGTTAGCTGACATATTCTTGGCCCAGGGACATTAAACATGGGATAAGCCTCCAGCTCGCCTTGGGTATAGCTGACCTATGTCTGAAATGGGTCAACGGAAACGTGGTATTATCTGCTTATGGGTGGTAGGATGTCCACTCATGCCTGCCCTGATCCCTGTCAGAGTATTTAATTGAATTGTCTGTGGAGATCACACCCTTTGTTTGCCATTACTACACCGCTGTTTCAACCTCCATCACCCGACACAGTTCTCTCCCATATACCATTGCTGTGGCACCCCACCCCCGCCGCACCCCACCCCAAATTTATCTCTCGATGACACCACAGACCACCATTTGTAGATACCATACACTGCTTCTGTCATGTCCTGGCCTTGCGCAGGCATCTGTCCAATCAAATGCGTCTTGTCCGTATCATTGAGTCTTGAATTTAAGCAAGCTTTTTTTGCGTGATCTTCACCACATTTCAGTGACTGCCAAACCCATAAAGTTAGGCAAGAAAATAAAGTACGGAACTCTCTTAAATTAGTCAAAGTCAAGGACAAGCTGCCATGGAGGAGAACTGAATATGTCACAGTCTGAGAGGCTGAGTGATTCAACATCGCTCGGATCACCTACACCAGTGGAAAATTTGTCTGTCAGTGGTGAAGACACTAGAGTGGATCTTTCATGCATATTCAGTGACTTTGTAGTTTCTGAGTGAGTTTCTGAGTGAGGGAAGAAAGTTCCAGAATCCCATGATCCCATCTTATCTGGAAATGACATAACTCCACATCTCTGCAAACAGGATTGCAACCGCCTCATTAGTCTATTTTTTAACCAATCATGGCAAACATATTTGCGATGACAGCTGATATGATATATTGAGCTCTCTATATTTTTATATACTTAATTTCCCTGGGAGAAAGTGCTATTGAATGTTCACTGTTTTTTATTGTTGCTGTTATGAATATCCCTCTTTCTGAAAATTAAATATTATAAAAATACAGGATGCTGCATCGCTTGGGAAATGAAAACCATGTATGTCTTGGAACAGTAGTACATTTGGTAAAATATAGAAATGAAGGTGTTTATAAGTGAATGTTGCTGTAATGTCTCAAAATACCAGGCCTGAATTGATCCAAGATATTGGTTTTAAACAAATAAAAAATTGAGAAATAATACAATTCCCAAACAAAGAAGTTGATCTCAATAAATAAATAAATGATGATGTACAGAAATGTATACATTTTTGTAAATCTATTTTTTATGATGAGCATGTTGTTAAAATTGTTGTTAAATTGTATTTTTATTTATTTTTGATTGTTTCTGCTGTTGTATGGCTATAGGCTCCCTTGAATAGAACAGATAATTAAAATGCTCTCTATGTAAACTGTGAGTCTTATTTTTGACACTTTCATTTCTCGCCTACCCAGGCCATTCTTTGCATACTGTTTTGGAATGATTTGCACATCAATGCCAACCAGGAAATCGCTGTTCAATGGTATTAATTTAACCATTAATAACTGGCTTGTCAGATAGTAAAAATGCATATTTTTGCACAGTGAAGAAAATAATGCATCAGGCCAATATGCAGGTAACAGTTTTTTTCCAATTATGGAATAGGCTAATGCATAATTTGGAATGCCAAAGCCAATTCAGTTTTCTTCAGGATTCCGTCCACTTTTCCTCAAGATTTGACACAATATGTACATAAGCAGACAGAAATGCGGTATAGAATTAACACAAAACATACCTGGCAAGAAAGGACGTATGGGTAAGGCACTTACGATTGGTGTTTTTCAAACCTGACCCCTAAAATGACGATTGCTTTTCTAGCGCATTTAAATATACCATGTAAGTACATTGCTCGGATGTTTACAGAAAAAAGGTGTGTAACACTAGCAACAGTAACTAGGGTGTTTGTAATAGCTACTTAACCCTTGTAGCTGAATCTATACAAAGATATTCAAAAAAGGAGCAGGTGATCCAAGATGCGTCACACCGAGACATGCAGACGGATGATCCTGTGAATAACATATTTCGCATTATTCGACATCAGTAATCCAAGTAGGCGTGTGAATGAGTCTGTGACAATGTCATGTATGTTTTGTGTGAAATAAACAAATAAAATTTAAAATTATTCATAAACTTCAACAACACCTACACTTCTAGGATCGCAGCAGAGGAACAGGAAGCCGGGATGTGACGCAGTCAGGAAGCGGCTAGTTCAAGCTCTGCAGCGGCAAAACAAGTCAGTTATGAAAGGCCGTGCAAGTAAACAAAGCTTGCTAGGAAGTGGGCTAAACTTACCATGAACTTTTGTTTTCTTCTTTTTGTTTTTACGAAAACCATGAATGATAATGGATTTTGGGTTCCGGTGGTTGTTTCTCGGAGATAGCTTGTCAACCAACTAGCTAGCAAGCTACCACAGAAAGTTTTATTTAGCTAACGTTAGCTAACGTCAGCAAGCTAGCTGTCTTTTAACAGTAGCTACTTAGCTAGTTGTACTATTGGTTATGTTGCTAACAGCTCTGTAGCCATTGCTGTCATAGTCCACTTTTGGTAGAATGTAGCTGTCTTGTCAGACAAATGTCCGGTAAGTTGACCCGTGGAAGTATTTGTAGTGAAGCAGTCTAGCTAGGAAATATGAGTGAACTTGTGCATGTTATACTCCGTATACCTGATCAAAACATAG